CTATTCCATCTTATTCCATTGCAATTTATATTTTATTAGTACCACTACTCTTTAATTATGTATTTTGAGCTCTCTGAGTCATCTGACGAGGACACCTTACCCATGCGGGAAATCCCCATACCACATGAGGTGGCTGAAACCAGCGACTGAGCTAGCACTCAAATAGCGCTAGTAGCGGCTCTAGTCGCCCTTGACCTGCAAGGTTCGATTATACACGAACTGCGTGGGGAAGCCGCGGCATTAGATAACAACTTAAGTCACCTAACAGCGTTATTTAAGAATAACTTCCCAGCATATGCTGCCGCAGGCCAGGCAATCACACTATCGAAACAACAGATATTCGACACTGCATCCAAAGTAGAATCAGCGGCCATTAGCGCCAAACGGATTATAATTTGGGGTTGTTTCTCCAAGTTCAATTCTCCGGTTCAGGCAACCGAAACCCTTTTGAGAAGCCTTACAGCGTCATCCCTACCCAAACCAATCGGAGCGTCGTGGCTGATGTCCAAATCTAAGAAGACGAAGGTGGGCATCCTTATCACCTTCAACTCGGAATCAGTGGAAGCAGACGCTCCCGCCCAAACCGAGATCCTGAAAAGGGCATGCAACCTTGTCCGAGGAGTTTCCCCAGACAAGCCACTGCACACCCGAACTCAGTGGAAGAAAGCCCTCAGAAGTAACAATGGTGCTAGCGATCCCAAACTCCGCTGTCTGCCAGTAATCCCCCTCTCGCGTATAGACCACCTTCTCACCTCCCAAGGTACGACAATTCCCCAAGGTCTCAATCACATCTGTAGCACCACCTAAACAGCCCCCTACAGCTTCGACACCGAGGCCCCACACCCCCGCTACGATTAAGATTAACCCCAAGAAGGCCCATAATCTCAAGCCACAAAGGAACGGTTTACTTGGCAAACCCCGTACCACTCTTCTCAACCGGATCACTAGCACCACAATACCCTGTTTTCCGTGACGCGCGTCCCAGTGGGCAAAAGGGATACCTCGCACATTCCCGTAGGAGTTCGCAAACGGTCCGTATTCTCCTCGTGTCCCATCCCACTTGTCCTCCCGACCTCTTCAACAGGTCAAGGCAATCACGCCGCAGAATGGTCCACAACCGAGACCGTGTCCACAGCCCACCAATTACAAACCAAATACCCAAATTAGAGCCCCTCCCAAAGATCCTTCCTCTGACCCTGCTACTACTAAAATCTCTGGTGAGTGGGCTCTGATTTGCATCTCCACTAACTGTCTCAGTACCTCGAACAAGATGCTGGAAGTCAAGCAGTTAGTGGCCGATAAGAAACCCCATATTTTAGCCCTCACAGAAACCTGGTTGACCCCGGAAAAAAGCGATGGCGAAATATCCCGTGCAGGTTACTCATTGATCCGAAGAGACTCAATGGGAGGTTGAGCAGGTGGTGTGATCCTCTACACGAGTGACCACTTCCCCCAAGCGATCAGTCTATCACTCCCTTTCTATCCCCTAATAGACTGCCTTTGGGTCCAATTTCCCCTGTCCCGCTCTGAAACGCTGGTGCTAGGATTAGTCTAACACTCACCTTCCTGTGGCGAGCTAGAATCACAACTCCTGATAGATCAACTAAAAGCTCAAGTTCTATGCGCCCCAATGCGCATCTTCTGATAAATGGAGACTTCAACTCTCCGGCAATAGATTGGCGTAGACCTCCTGAGTAGCCCAATAGAGCAGCGTATTCACACAGCGGACCATCTGCTGGTGCCCCGCCTCCGTAAATCCCCCTCAAACAGGCATTCATTACCGCGTGCTATCCGTCATCTTTTAGTAGAACGTTCACGGTCCTTTGTTAGATGCAAATTGACGGAAGAACACCACGAAAGATACCAATGGCTTCATCCGGATTCGCGATATATGCAAAGCAAAGATCCGAGAGTACCAAAGAATCCAACAGGACGGCATTCTAGCCAGGGCACTAGTAGATCGGTTAGTTCTGTACAAATTCATGCGACGAACCCGGCAAAACACTCCATCCGCTCTTGCCCTATCTAAACCCGACGGTACCCCAGCAACTTCATCTACAGAAGTGTCGGAAATATTCCGGTCCCATTTCAATCAAATTTTTAACATCCCATCTCAAATCTGTCATCCCAGTCTTCATACCTCAAGCTACCAATCCCCGTTAGATCACTTCGTCATAACAGTCTTAGAAGTGAAAGACCAACTCAGACGCGTGAACTCCTTCAGATCCATGGGTCCGGATGAAATCCACCCCCGTAAACTGAAAGAATCCGCAGACGTGTTGGCTGCTGCATATGCCCATCTCTTTCAAACGTGCTTGGACACAGGAACCCTTCCACAACAGTGGAAGAGGGCAACTGTTATCCCTATTTATAAGATGGGTGATAGACACTTGCCTACTAGCTATAGACCCATCAGCCTAACCAGCGTTCCCAGTGAGATCTTCGAGCACCTCATTAAACGGCGTATTCTAAGACATCTAACTGAGAACGGCTTGGTACACGCTTCCCAACACGGCTTCCTACCAAACAGATCATTCATCTCCAATATGATGACCTTAATGGATAGCTTAACCCGTGCCTATGAAGAATATCATATTTCGCACGCGATCTTCATAGACTTCGCAAAAGCATTCGACAGAGTGCCACACATCCCTGTCCCGTACAAACTAGAGTTATGGCGTTACTGACCGATTGCTTTCTCTATTTACTAGACTTCTGTCGAACCGCTCCTTCGCGGTTCTGATAGACACATCCGTTTCTTCACCCTCCCGAATCTCAATAGGAGTCCCACAGGGCTCCGTACTAGGTCTTGAAGTCTTGAAGTTCGAGGCTGTTGCCCAAATGTCCCGGGTCCTTGAAAGGTATCGGTGTTTTCTTTTGGTTTGAATTACTTCTATAACAGAGAGTACTGAAAAGGGATTAGTAGGGTTCCCGATCGAGGAGAGAAATAAAATGAAGACTTGCGAACTCTTATATAATTCAAAATGTTTTTTTCTTTTTATTGCGGAGGAGTAGATAAACCTAAGTGGCGGTCAAGAAAAAGTTAGAAAACCGCCTTGCTGGGGGCGCTGACTATCTCTTCTGGAACGTCATTCCATAAGGATATTACCCTGAAGGTAAAAAGTGAGGTGCGTAGAGTGGTTCTCGGACGGGGCTTGAAGATTTCTTTGCTGTGACCACGGGTAGGCTGAGAGTCAGCAATGACAAAAAAGGTTTCGACAGTGCCCGTGTGGAAAAGATGGTAGAGGAGAAATAGGTCTCCTCGGATGCGTCTGATTTCTAGCGTTCCCATCCTATTTCTGATCTACATCAATGATCACCCTAAATGTCTCCCTATAGAGGTTGCCATGTACGCGGATGATGTCACCATCTGGGGCACAGACGCATCCCAAGTGCAGTCGGCGATTGACCAAACAAACAAAATTGGTGTCGACTGGAGCTTACCAATCAATGACGAAAAATACGCAAGCATGACCTTTGGTAATACTCCTGGTCAACCTTTCTGGATAAACGGTTCAACCCGTATCCAACTGGTGGATCAGCGCAAAATCCTTGGTTTCTGGCTGAATAGCAACACTTCCTTTTCTTCCCACAACCGAAAAGCCAGTGAAACCGCTTTTCCAATTCTGAACCTTATCAAGCGATCTTTCCCGCGTATAACCAAAGAGGACTTCCCTGTCCTTTATGGAACATACATACGCCCACTGTTAGAATATGACAGCCAAATTGCACATTCTGGCCTCATTCGCGACCGCGACTCACTAGAGCGTGTGCAGCGAAAGACCACGAAACTAGTACACGGCTTGTCAGAAATCCCTTGTCCTACCCGACTACAACAGCTAAATCTATACCCTCTAGATATACGACATATCAGAGGGGATCTTTTCCTTCTATATGACCTCTTCACGTCAGGTCAAGTTGATCTTTTCTTCACACGCTCTAGACTAGAACACTTAAGGAGACACCCAAGAAAACTCTTCGAACACCGGTCCAGAACCTTCATCCGCTTCAACTTCTCCAAGTACAGGGTCATCTCAGAATGGAACAAATTTCCACTAGAGATTGTGAACTCCTCCTCCAAAGGGTCTTCGAAACCCTGCTAGACTCACACCTGGGGCTTACCATCCTCCTGACCAAATTGGCCTCCATCTTCTGAAGGACACCCTCACGTTATCCTGCTTATCCCTGTTACTACTCCTCTCACATCCTCGCTTTCCTCTAGATTTTTTCTCGATGCATGTACCCTTAACCCAGCGGTACCATATTGGAGCCAGCTCCCATTTCCGTCAACATCCCTTTCAGCTCGTGAACCAAACTGCAGAAGAAAAGACAAATCCGGAACCGGGAATATTGGGCGTAAGCCGCGAACCCGAGTACTACTTCAAGACCTCAAGACCTCTTTTTGAGGAACACATGTTCGGTCGGAGATAGTAGGTTGTTGCGAGCAACAGGCTCACCTATTCTCTTTCTAACTATTTTCTTAAGTCCTTTACGGAGGACACTAGTGAGAATAATTTGTCTGTAGTATCCTGGCCCTTTTCGGTCACCTCCATTGTGCTTTGCCACAACCGTTGCTATCTTCCAGTCTTTCGGTGTTTCGGCGAGTCTGAGGGATTTCTCGTATATTGCCCACACGGGAGCCACCAAAATCTCTGCGAGCGGTTTGACGATGGCCGGATTAAGTCCATCAATCCCCTCTGATTTGCCAGATTTTAATTCAGTGAGTAACTTAAGAATTTAGTTCTATCTACCTGCAGATCACTCGTTGCAGGAGCTCGTAGCTGTGGCAGGGCTAGGTGCACCAATCATCCATTTTATAGGCGCTTTCAAAAAACGCTTTGAGTATCTTGCACATCTCTGCCTCTGACGACACTTCTTCCCCTGCGTCGTTTCGTAGGACCCCAACCGATAGCCTAAGGGCAGCTTTTGATTGTGCATACGCGTAAAACCATTTGCGATTGATTTTAGGTTGCTGAGCGATCCTCAATTCCTGTTTAATTTTAGATGCACGTTGATACACGTTGATAGAAGCTGTTCAAAGGTACATCTAGAAGACCGAACATTTCAATCCAGTCGAGACCCATCAAATTCAAACAGGGTCTATTGGTGACGTAACAGGTTCCTTCAATCTTCATGCCTTTGAACGAAACGTCACACACAAGCTCACGAATGAGATATACTTGTCCGCCAGACACGTTGAATGCTTTCCTGTTGGTCAGATTGAATGCGGGTCTCCCGAGCGCGTGGCAAGTTCGTTTTGAGATCAAAGTTATGTCAGAAGCGGTATCAATTTGCAGGCGTACTGGCTCACCATTGATGCGGACAGTGAGGTACTTGCGCGTTTTTTCCATTTCAGGTTCGACAGAAGACATGATCGCTTGACGTTTGGGTTCAAACTTTGTCGATGGTGATTTGAACCGACTTGGCTTGTGACATCCCTTTGACGTAGAAGGACGCTTAGTGTGACAGTAGTCTTCTTTGTGTCCTCGTTTGCGTCATTTTTGACACACGTGTTTCTTGAGGGGACAGCAGCGTGCGTAATGCCATTCTCCGCATTTCCAACATGCAGTGGGGGGTCTTCGGGTAGCGGCTGCTTGAAGCTTAAGGGTAGACATTGACCGCGGCTTTGTGACAGCATGGACATTGGATGAAGCT